TCTTCGCCCCCGCGGGGCTGCCCGCGCCTCCCGCCGGCTCGGAGGGGGCGGCCGCAAACAACCGGCCCTTCAGAGCCCGAGGGGCGCCGGGGGTGGCAGCCGGGAGGGGCGGCTCCGGAGCTGACCTCCGTCCCTGGAGCCGCGGGGAGGAAAGGGGCAATTCCTGACTGGCGCTGGGAAACCCTCGGGCTTTTTCTCGACTAGGTCTGAAGCTTTAAATAAGCTTTTTAAGTAGGCACAGGGAGACCTTGTCGTGGGAGATTCTGTTTTTTGAGGAATTTTTTTTTTTTTCTTTGGTGTGTGTGGGAGTGTCTTTTAAAGGCAGTAAAATCTTGTGAAGGTGTTTAATATCTGTGGGACTTGGAGTAAAGCTGACATGCACCTGCCTTACCCACTTTATTTTTTATTTTTTTTTTTAATTTTTACAAAAATGTATTGCCAGCAGCAATGCTCTGTAATCAGAGTTCGGTCCATAAGTTACGTAAATGTGAAAAAAAAGAGGTCAGATAATACAGTTCATGTAATATTTAAATTGGTGGGTGCTTTTTGAATAGTAAGTTGGTAATCTGTCTTGCACATAATTTTTGTGCTCTTTCGAATTTTTTTAGAAAGAGTCTAGTAAAATAGAGATACTCTTTAAGCTTTTGATGTAGTCAAAAATGTTTGCACTCTGTGATGTTTGCAAATGAGCAGAAGTTTTTAGAAAGGGCAGTGTAGATGGGAAGGTGTATTGGACAGCTGAGTTCTCCTGCCTGAAAAGATGGAAAGCACAGCGGTATAGATTTTTACTCTCATTTTAAATACAGATGACAACTTCAGTAAGTTTCACAATAAGTAATTTTCTGACACTATTGGCATGTCAGTTGACAGCCCAATGATCAAAGTTCTTTACTTCTTGATGAAGAGTTTCCCAAATACTGTTTAGTGGGATGGTGTTCTGTGTGCTTCTGTATCGCTGTATGAAACTGAATAAATTCCCTTGCTAATAATTTTCTTAGAACTGACCATCCAAGAAAGATAAAAGATAATAGAAACTAATACAGGCTGCTGGTTTGTGGAAGCTGCTGGAGATAGCTGAATGCAAGTGGCTGTATGACTCATGAGCTGGCAGGATACAGGACATCACTGAGATCAATTGACAATTTCTAGCATGCATTTGCACTCAGAAATTCAGAGTGCCTGATAGGATGCTTCCTTAGGAATGCACGCTGATTATTACTTGGCCCAAGTGAAGCATGTGTATAATCAATAAATTTGCTTCTCTTCAAACATACACAGCTTTTATATCTGGGGTAGCCTTATTGATTGCAGTGGATTTCTTGTTTAGGAGCATGACCATGCAAGCTCAGTAGGAATGATACCCACTTATAATTTACTGGACATTGAATTGTATTGCTACATTTAACTCAATTATATCCATGATGCAGAGGAATAAAGAATAGCTAGTCTGACTTGACTTGCTAAAAAATGCCCTTCCAAAAGCAAAATCAAATATATAGGGAAAAAGTTTGACCTCCCCTTCGTTTGCGCATACAGACACCATCCCCCAGCTTCAAACAGCCTTGTTAATAACCTGGTCAGTTGAGAGTGCTGTGAAGTTTTACTGAGAATATTGGGCAGGCTCATATGCCTCACTTACACAGTTTATTTAATGTTACTGAAGGGGTCTGATGTGGTCAAATGCTGGGATTTTTTTTTTTTTTTAGTTTTTTTTCTATTTTGCCTTTTTTCCCCCTGAAACTTCAAAGGCTCAGTTGTTACCAGAGAAATTGAAGTAGAAACAAAACTTGAGGCAGAAGGATGTACACCCAACCCCCAAAAAAACCCCATCCTGAGTACCCCCCCCAAAAAACCCCTTCAGCTAAATCAATACCAAGAAAACCCAAAATCACTGGCTTGCAAAAGGATGGTTCTGAAGTTTCTCTAAAGAAGCAAACTACTTTATTTTGAAGAAATACAGTAAGTTTAAATCTGTATTTTGACATAATTAAAGATTTGCTTGCACACTGATTCAGTTGACTGTTTCAAAAGCTAAGTGAAAAATTAATCAAAAGACAAGTGATAAATAAGGCCATGCATCGGGATAAAACAATGAGCCCTATATTGCTGTGCATGGGATTTTGAGTTGAGAAGGACACTTTGCTCACCATGGTGTGGGTAGACAATGTGAATTAATCCTTGTTAGTGTTTGGTGCTGTTACTATATTGGCTTGTACAGGGGTGGTACCAAATTTAACCAGTCGTAAATCTTTTCCCATAAAGGAGCATAACATGTCTTGTAGCACCTCTTGAAATGTGTAGAAATAATCTCTGAAATATATAGCAATGTAACTAAAGGGGATTACTTAATCCTTGCCTTCTTATGTGGTTACTTAGAAATTGCAGTACTGTTGTTGGCAACAATTTAGTTACCATAACTTCTCTTATCACTTTGGTATCTATGGTAATATCAAACTTGTGACCCATGATTAAAGTGTGTAGTTTGAAGCAGGAGTGAGTGCCTTGTTCTCCTTCAGATCAGCTTTTCAGCTCTTCAGAATACTGAATTTCAGAATTATTTCAGAATAATGAAAGTAAGAAGTGAATGAAAGTATTTTTGAAAGTGTTGAAGAGGGTCTATGTTGGATAGTTAATCATGTTCCTATAGTGTGTTTACTTTATATAAAATATATTTATCAGAAATTTGCATATAATTAATGGGGCTCTCCAAGTGAGACTCCTGTTTGTACTAGAAAAATAATTCTTACCAAGTGAAATTTATTTGTACCTTTGCTGTATTCAGCTTGAATCATTGTCTTCAGTGAGTTTTTCCAGGTTGGGTACAGAATAGTGAAGGGGGAGGGGAAGAATCATGAGAAATCACTTTGTCAGATGGCGCTTGCAAAACTGATTCTTGCATGCAGGAACATTTGGGAAGGTGGTGCTTAAATGCTGGTTGCACCAAATGCTGGAAATTGCAAACAATTTGGGCTTAGGTTCAAAGGCGAAAAAATTGATTACTGTAACTACATCTCTTTCTAGGTAATGACTCTGTCAAGCTTTCAAACCTGATATAGTTGGCTTAAACTATTATTGTTAGCATAGTCTGCAAGCTAAGGGCTGAAGTAGCACAACCAAACATTGCCCACAGATGTTAAACTGCTCAAGTGTCCTATCCCTAGACGGGAAAGACAAAGATACAAAAGTGACATGTATGGTTTGGAAATTATTTTTGATAATAGAGGAAGCCTGTGCTGTGCACCCTTATTTGGAAACTTGGGGAGTTCATGTTGGTTTTCTAGAAGGTTCTTCAAAATCTCTTAAAATTTCAATGTCAAAAAATAGAAAGGTTTTCATTTTGCTTCATCAGATTGCAGGGGTGAGAAAATAACCATCTGCTGTCTGACCAGTTGTCTTAAGTAGTATAAATGATAGATGAGTCACTTAGTTCAGTTGTGGGCTTGTATCAAAGATGGCCAAAATGCTTTGCAATGACAGATAATGAGCTTCCTATAAAGTTTGTTATAATGGAGGCAGAAAGTGATTCTCTGGTTAAAATATTAAGATGTCATGTCAATGATATATGTTTTTGCTGTAAGTATTTAATCTGCCCTGTCACTTTTTCCAATGATAAGGCAGACTGTTCTCTGTGTTTGTTTTAAATGTATTTTCAGTTTGGAAAGTGAAATGCATGAATGGTTCAGTGGTTCACCATCTAAAATAACTCAATTAATTTGCTTCTTAGCCCACCTTTAGACTACAATCCTCTAACTTGCTGTTGGATCCTTCCCTGGGGTGCTCGAGCCACTCCTGTGCTGACCATTCAGAAGGTCATAGTGCTTCGGCACAGTCTCATAAATGCTGAAGTCAGATGATGACTATTGATATATGCACTGGTTTTGTCAGTTCATGTCTCAGTGGTGTGAAATAAGAGATGGGTGACACACGGAAAGAAGAACCTGTTCTCCATCTGTGTGCAAGGCACGTCAGAGGGAAAGTAACCTAGCAGCCGTTTAGGTTAAAAAATGACATACTGTGCAAAACGGAATTTTAACATTCAGGAGTGTCTGCTAAATAACTGTATTATTTAACAAGCTAATTACAGCTCTTTGCTTCCAAACATGACCAATGAACTAATTTGCCTGAGGAGATTGCAATGTGGTAGCAATAACCAAGCTGTTACCACAGTGCCTTGGTACTGCACAGCTGCCGAATACATCCTTTATCCTGTAATTGCTTTTCAGCTGTTCCTAAAAGCAAATGTGTTTAACTGTGTGATCATATTTTAAGCTTAAATGTTGCTCATCCTTTTAGTGGCTAAGTAGAATATCTTTTAATCTGATGCCTTGAGGAGGAAGCTGTAGGATCAGGTGTCATTGCTTTGCTACCAGGTGTATCTTCTGAGTTCCCGTTTGCACGGTTTTCCTCAGATGAAAACTGACTGAACAATGTGTTCTCTCTGCTCGGTAATAGAGGAGGAGGATGGCTTGCAGATTTGGTGATTTAGAAGTGGAATACAATAAAATCAAGAATAACTGAGGAGAAAATAATGACAGAGCTTCAAGGGTTGAGTCTTAAGAGGGTCGTTTTAGTAAGTTGGGGAGTTTCCAGAGTTGTCAGCTGCTACTCAAGAAATGCACAAAATAATGGGATTCCAAAGTGGGTGGATTTTTCAGTGTAACAGAAGGGCTGTAAGAGATGGAGAAAGTGTAGTAATAGGAGCAAGATGTAATCGATAAAGTCTTGGGAAGCAGATTCTACTATATTTTGTTATTGATTTGTTGCATGGAGTTACTGGTTTTATCCCAGTAATCTTGCTCCTTACTTCATTCAATATTTGCACTTCATCCTCTTAAAACTTCAGGTTGTTTCGCTAGTAGTCAAAAGACACAGTTGGCTAAACACTGAACTTTCACTGATCTTAGTAGGAAGATGTTTGACATACTTGCTTTGAAGGGCCCAAGTGGATCTGATTCAGTATGTGTTATTGCCCATAATTAGGGGGCAGTGAGAGATGTGTAGATGGAAGGACACTGAACATGAAGATGTGTTAGGGTATGTCCTAAAAAGGTGCATAGAACAACACAGTTTAGGCTAAGTATCTACCTTAATATAAGTTGGCATAGAAGGATGTAGGGGGAGGCCATTAAAATTGTATTCCAAGTTCATTAGAGAAAACTGCATTGGATCTATAAGAACAGTGCTTCAGCTGAATGCTTTGTATTTGAGTCTGTTGTAGTCTCAGGTGTTTTTAAGGGACAAAACAATGTAGACAAGGTAGTAAATATAATAATAATAGCCTCCGTGGTTCTGTCTGTACATGTCTTGCATGGGTGGCATCCAGAGGTGTCACTGTAAATTCAGGGCTGTGTTTTGCTTTGCTTTGGATGCAGTATGTTTGATTCTCTGATGCTTCGTGAGAGGAAAAGGGGGAAGTAGTGATGCCTGTAGTGGGCATCAAGACTTGCTTGAAGGCAAAAAACAACAAACAGTTAACTTGCCCAGTTTGCAGTGAGAATGATCAGTTCAGCCTGAGTGAAAGTTTGCTTGCACTTTACCCTCCAGACTTTGAGCGGCCTAGTCCAGGTTGGTAAGCCAACAAATAAACTAAATCTGTGCATAGAGCACTTTGGTAAAGTTTTTCCATTTCCAAAGTTCCTCAAAAAAAATGGGGAGATTTCTTTTTTGTGTTTTTATTTTGTTTTCCCAAAGACCTGATAATGTCACAGGATGGTCACCATACTAAAGAGCTACTGAAGTCTGCTGCTACTTTTTCAGAAATACTAGCCTAATGTAACACTTCAAGGTAACTGTTTTGTATTTTAGTGTTTTGCTTTAAATTTGTTTTTAGAAGTGGAGGTGTGTGCTACTGTAGAGATGCATATGCTACTGTAGAGATGCAGTTTTTTGTTATAGGAAAATGTGGTGGGTTTTTATTTTCATGTAACTGTTAATATACTAAACAATAATTTCTCTTATGTTTTATTCTATCCAAGCAATATGTTTATAGTTTTTGTGTTTTGTTCCAGTAGTCTGTGGAATTAAATAGCTGTGGAATTGACTTCTGTTGGCAGGCTTTTGGGAAGTAAAGCCAATGAACCACTTTCAGTTTGGTCCTCAAATAATAAGAAAGCACTGTGGAATAGCAAACTTCTACGCTAGGGAAGGAAAGAAGATCTTTAAGAACGTGTACAGAAGTTCCCAGTTGACTCATGTATCTGACATGATGCAGGAAATGAAAAACTCGTCTGTGTTATGAATGTCATCAAACAGTCAAACTGCACATTCTGGGTAGCTGTTGAAATGGCCATGTGGAGGGCAGCTGATCTCATTCTAGTCCTCAGCATAGAGAAGGTGTCACTTCTAGCTTTGCAAAAATTCTGATTTCCCAGTCTTTTCTCCCAGCGTAGGCATTGCTACATAATCTTTCTTCAAGCTTCTCTTAGAAAGAACAAATAGTTGCCAAGCTAGAGGCTTATTGACTTGTATTTGTAACTCCTTCAACTGCTCTAAAACTTAACATAAATCTTTGCTTAAGGTAAATTCAATTGTTTTTTTAGAGTACTGGTAGGGACTGAAAGGTAGAGTGGTGAGTGGACGACTAAAAAGGTCAATAGTCAATTTTGCAGTTTATTTTGAGTTTAATGCTGCAGATAGTATTTTCTTATTTACACTTCTGTCTTTGCAGCATTGGAGTCTGTTTTCCTCTTTCACCATGGAATATACATGAACTGCTATTTGATCTGGTAGATCAGATTAAACCTCAAACTAGCAGTAACATTTCTAGAAATAGCTCGGTGGCAAACATTAAAAGCAGGCATTACAAATTGAATAGAAATTTGTGTGTGGTATATTTATTTTATTTGCTTGTCCTGTTGTCTTTGTCTCTCTTTCCTAGCCTAAGTTACTGAGTAATGACTAATGTTATTTCTCGTGTTTCTGTTTAGGGGAAAAACCCCAAAACATTTTGTCTTTTGTTTTCTGCCTTATGTTTTCCTATTTTTTTTTTAATTGGTGAAATACTATTTCTGTCCTACCACCTTGTGTTTCCTCTGCTTAAACGATATCTGTAAAATAAAACTTCATGTTGTTTTTGTATAGTCTCTTGTGTATAAAACAATTTCCAGAATCTGCTCCCCATGCACACAGTAGAAGTACTGTCAAGTTGTGTTACATTGAGCTGAGCAGTTACAGCCATATATGCATCTGTTGTCCCAGGTGTATTTGAGGCTGGAAAACAGGGTAGGTGCTGTGTCTCACTTTCTGCTGCTGTGAATACTGCAGTGAGGAACATAGATGGGTGTTTCTGTTCTCTCTCATTTTTGTGTCTCTCAGTTTCTATTATAAAATAGCAAGAGGAGATAGAATGCATGGTACAATGTTTTCTAAGGTATGAATGTGAGTAGACAGCAACAGCAGGTCTTCCACCTGATTTCACTGCAGTCCTTGAGCACAAATTCATAGGAGGAGCTCTAGAGCAGAGAAAACAGCAGTATCTTAACTGCCTTGCAGATCAAAGCTTTGAATAATCCCAGTCTGCTGTTTACATAGTGGAGTGGGAAAGAGCTTAGGCTGGCCTTTGCCACAGAAGGAGGAAGCCCCCTTGGAAGAGAGACACATGGTTGAATTACTTGCTTTCTTTGAGATCTGTCTGTACATTTTAGAAAAACTTGATTTTACAGGCAGGTGCTGAAGCCCATCAGCAGTTATTTTTAAATTTGTTGTCTCTATGACACTTCTGTTGGAGGTCAGGGAAGTCTGAAGACTGAAGTAAAGATCAGTAGTCCTGATATCGTAGGGTAAGTGTCTGCTGTTCTTCTGATAGGCTTGCAAAGTTAGGGACTGCTGCTGGGTATCAGCATGGGTATAATGAAGATCAGTCCAGAAGAGGTTAAGGAAATTAAATATTTAGGCATTGTTTCAGGAAAAGTACATTATCTTTCAAGTGCAGCCAGCATTCATAGGATTGTTCCACTAATTTCTGCATTTGTTTGTGTTTAAAGTAGATTTGCAATTTCTGCTTTTTTTTCCCTCACTCACTGTATTCTTTCTGTGTTCTTCAGGCAGTAACTATATGTCTTTTTGCTCTTCACATTTAATATGGGAATCTGGATGAGCGGTGTATTCTATTAAACATGTGGCAATCATGAATTTGTATTGAGATGTAGCCTAATAAATTGTATGCTGTTCTTACCTTTAGTATGAATTTAGTATTGAATTCAGTATTTTGTGTATTTCAGATGATAAAAAGGATATTGACCATGAAACAGTGGTGGAAGAGCAGATCATTGGAGAGAATTCTCCTCCAGATTACTCAGAATACATGACAGGGAAGAAACTTCCTCCTGGTGGAATACCTGGCATTGACCTCTCAGACCCCAAGCAACTGGCTGAATTTGCTAGGTAAGTAGGAAGAAAGGAACTCTAAAATTGTGCTCTTTTCACTGGTTTAATTATTAAATGGCTAGGAAAAATGGTGTATTTAGTATGGGTTACTAGTCTATTTAATTCCATTCTAAAACAAGGGACTTAACACAGCATCAGGTACTCTGTTCTGAACTAAAATAACAGGATTTTATATTCAGTAGTGAAATCTTCAGTGTATTCCAGTCTTTAGTTCCATTAGGTAAGACAGGAATACACTGATACTCTACGTAACCCTGCCTTAGGATTGGACTAGATGGGCTCTAGAGGTCCTTTCCAAGCCCAGCAATTCTGTGATGTGTCAGATTATTTCATGTGAGTAGACTTAAATTCGTGAGAACCAAAGGATCCAAGAAGTGAAATGCTGCATTCCGGTTGTTCAGTATAAAATAGCAAGGCTACAGGATCTAGTTGGCAACTCCACTTCCTGTTCTTTTTCACCTGCTTCTTAGGCTCGAGATTTTAAATCGTGTCCTGCACTTTCAAGTGCCACTGATAGTTGCAGTTTCACAGTTGGTAGCTATACTGCTTGGATTTTCTCTGGTGAGTCAGAATTATCACTCGTTTACATAATAATAGGCTGACCTGAGCGACAAGGTGACTTTTGCTTTCAAACGGCGGTGGAATGACTTGCAGCGGGGCGGGGACAGTGAAAGTGTCGGCTGGGCCCGGCTGTGGTGCCGGGTGCTCGGGGCAGCCCGTGGCCACCAGAGGGCACCCCCGAGGCCAGCGGAGGGGCCGCTCCAGTGCCCCCCGGGGCTGGCTCTGCTGGCCCGGGCCCCTCGTGCTCCGCTCAGCGCGGGGGCAGCGTGAGCGCTGTGCCTGAGCCTGTCTCTGGCTGCCAGATTGTCACAGGCTGAGAGCAACATGTGTGTAAAGCCACATTCGTTTTCATTTCTTTAGCAGCTGGCTGTTCTTCAGAGCGCAGGTGCACAGGTCTGACACTCGGAGTAGGAGGACAGTCAGATGGTGTTAGCCTTACTGCCTAGTTAGTAGAGGGAGAGTGTACCTTTTCCCAGGTACTTGCTAGGCGCCGGGGGCTGTTGATACAAAGTTCTGCTCTGGTTTCTTGGCTAGCTGGATCTTGGTGTTCACTGTGTGCATTTACTCCTGTTTTACCTTTTTGATCTTGCTGCTTTTTACAAGTTTTGTCCTGGTACTCTGTAGTGTGTTTGTGCTGGAGGAATTACAGCATGGCTGCATCCCACAATTACTTTCACTAAAGCTGTTGAACTATGAATTTCGAAGGCTCCTAGTAAAATAGGTTTTCAGGATTTTCTTGCTGCTTCAGGTTGTCTGATCTGGAAATGTATAAAAGCACATCACAAACAGCTGAAAACAGGGTTCTGTCTAAAAGCACATCACAAACAGCTGAAAACAGGGTTCTGTCTGAAGTGATGGGTGGATTTAGCTATTGATACTCTTGTGTTTCACTATAATTTATCAAAGTTACTGTAATTTTCTCTAGGACTTGCTGAGGAGTTCATACAATTTTTTTGTGAAAGCAAATAATTTAAGCGATACTCTTGAGTGTACATAGTGTTCCAGTTCTAAACTGTTACCTACATATTTTTACTCATTGTGTGTTTAGAATTGTGCTCTCCATTACTCTAAAACATGCTAAAATCTTTGGTTCTATTAGACACTGAAATACTGAATAGCTGTCTTTTGTTAGGAAGTAGAAATAGTTCCTTGCAGGGTATTCTCCATGCAAATACTGAATATATTTTTCTTCAGACTGAGTTGAGTACTTGAAATGGTTGTCAGGATTTGGGCTTCTTGAAATGACCAGGCTGCTTCTATCAAATATGTCTGCATATTTCTGAAATATATTGTAAAACGTTTTAGTTACGTTTCTATTGAGAAAGCAGTGGCTGCTGGCAGTATTTTAAAATTATTACTTCACTGTATTTACGGTAAAATGTTCTAGGAAGTTCCAGAGCTGGAATTTGTAGCAGATAGTGGAAAGATTCAGTTTTATGTGTACAACTTCTTTTCTCATAGCAGATAAAATATAAACGTTTCAGTCAGAAGATAAATGCATGAAGGTAGAGGAAGCACTTTGTGTGGATATCACCTTTAGTAATATAGTTATATTACTATATATTACATATGCTACTATATAATTGTAACAAGTTGCTAAAAAAATTGTTCTCATAGCTTAATTGTAGATTCATGAGAATTTAATACATTTTCTAAGAAAGGCTGATTTCTTGGTCAGAATCGATGACTGTCAAACTTTTGTTTTATGTTATGTCTTAAATTATTGTGTTTATTTATTCTGCTGAGACTGAAGAGTATGGGTTAGAATTTTATTATTTCTTGTTAAGGTCTAGTCTTCTTGAAATGAAGTGTGTTGAGGGACTCCTTAGCTAAGAAGATGGATTCAAGTACTGATACCTGCAGACTACTGTTCAATTGCTTGACCTTGCTGTGTACAGTATCACTAGGAGCTTCACACAGCAAGCTGGAAATAAAAATTGGTTTTATATAGCTGGAGTTGGCTTTGGAGGTTCAAGGAATACAGTTTTTCATGCTAAAAGAATGTGTTTGTTTAGTATAAAGTTCTCTGAAATTGTCAAACAGTGCTCATTGCTTTACAGTTCAGAAGTTCAAAATTCTCAGTAGCTGTATTTTGAAAACTTCTAGCAGCACATGAAGTTGAAAATTGCTTCTAAACTTAAGTAGCTTCACGTGCTGTAAGGTTTTGAATTACAAATTTGTATTTAGATTACTTGAAAAAAGAATTGTGGCAGTCCACATATAAGGAAGTGTGAACTGGCTAGTAAAACTGTATGCTGAGTGCATTGTGTGTAGTTGAGAGAAGGTTATGTAAGGATGCTTTTTGGTTTTCATTTAAGTAGGAAGGAATCACCATACATTTGTAGAAATTACCTCCTCTGAACCAGGCTAGATCCACTGTTTATAACAAATGGTAGCTTATTTTGATTAAGAATAAACTGTTTTGAAATACTTGCACTGATTATTAAGAGCAAAGTTCTGAGGTTAAGCTTAAATAGACAAAACTTGAATTCTAGTAGTAGTAGATTTTGAGCAAGGTTCTGGTATTCTGATTATTATTTAGTTAGTGAAAGGTAATGCAGGGACCTACCTGATGTTTGAAGTTATTTGTAGCTCTGCAGCCATTTAAAAAAAAATAATTAAGAAGTGTAGTAATTGAGCATCTGCAGTGGCCAGCAGTGCTCAGAGCTCAGTGGCTCTCACAGAGCGAGTGGTTGTGGTGTCTCTTGCGATACAGTTGTCTTTCACTGCCTGGTTTAGAGCATATGTCATTGAGTCATGTAGCAGGAATCTAAATTCTTTAACTGGAACTCTGACAGTTTTTCCTGGAAAAGCTCTTATGCATTCTATGATTCCATTGAAAACATTGTGAATAAATAGGCTGTGTCAGAACATCGACACGTTCAGTAATACATAGACGAATGACCATAAGTTACACCTGGCTGGCAGTTTACCACTTTTTGCAGATTACTTTAGTCTGTTTTAGGAGTCTTGAATTTTCTCTAGCATGCTTTAAAAATGCAATAAAAAAGGAAAAGGTGGAATTCTCTTGGGCAATCATATCAGGATGTGAAATGTTAATTGTGAATGATCTGCTCAGAAGGAAAAAACCTGATAAATTACCGTGTTTTCATTTGATTCCTTTGACTGGGAAACTACAAATCCCTTCAAGTGGAGTAAAATGCTTCATCCAAATCTAAATTGATGACAGCTCAGTAGTTAGCTGTGAAGAAATCATAGTTGCTTGGTAGTGAAAACTTAAGAAGGTAGCAGGGATATTTCTAGAATGTACATATGGCAAATTCTCTCAAAGCAAACCACTAAGAAGGATATCCCTGGTTGTCCTCTCCTTCTCTCTTGTCCTCTAAATACATGACTGAACTGGCTGAAGACAGCAGAACACAGACATATGTAAAACAAAGAAATAAGAAGGAATATCCTATAGCAGGGAAATTGGCAGAGTAATGGGTCCTGGTGGTAAAACCTTCATTGTTTGTGGTTTTATTTTCTGCTGATGTTGGTATCTTTTCTGAGGGAGAGCCATTGTGAGGACTGGTCTTCCTTTCTATCCACTTTCCAAACCTATAGAAAACAGAAGAGGAAACTGCATTAGTTTGAAATTGGACACCCTTCTTAGAAGTGACAAAGCCTTCTGTTCATCCAGATTTATGACTTAGGCCTCTTTATAAGGTGTATGCTTTTGTAGTCTCATTAGAAAAGTTTAAAGGGCAGTAAAGTGACAATTGCTTTACCCAGTATTATTCTAAGGGAGGGGAGATCTGCTCCGTGCCACACTGTAGAGGTCACTGTCCCTGTTTACACATATGATATTCCTCATAACTGGAACAAGCCTAGGGATAACTTTTGCCAGAATTGTGGAGTGAATGAACTTCTTATGGCAGTTTTCTTCCTAACTGTGACTGAAGCAGGTAAGACACTGGCTGTTCTTGGGCTGTGTTAGATAGATTCCTAGGACACTTTGTGCCACTCCCCTTTCATCTTGTTTATCCAGAAGCCAGTCTAGCCAGTTCCAGGAGTTGTTCAGCACAAACAAACTCTTGCAGTAGTACGGGGCTGTGACGCTCAAGTTGGTTCTGCTCAGCAGGGCAGTTCAAGGGGAATGGCAGAATGAGGGGAACACAGCAGCAGTGCCAGTAACTTGCTGTTGTTGAGAGTGGATAATTTCCTCCACCTCTGACTGTTCCTGGGGAGCCAGGGGGGTGAACCATCAGCACAGGTGAATATCATTGCTGGTCATCAGAGACCTCTAAGATGTGTTAAAGGAGTTGCCTGAAAAGAGAGTAAAGCTATTAAGGTTAGCTTAACGTACAGAGGGAGCAGAAGCTGAGAACAGAGAACTCTAGCAGTGGCAAAAAATAGGAGATGATGGAGCAAGAGGGAAATTCTATACTGTTACTTGAATTATATTTCCTTTCTTCCCAGCTTTAACATCTTTTCTATTGCTGCCTTTTAAATTGCATTAATTGGCAAGTCTATAGGTTATGGAGTTTGACAGGGATTTGGGGTGGGGATTAAGGTTCTCTTAGGGTGAAGTACTTTCAGTTCAGCTATGTAGATTAAAGGAGATGGATTTAACTTTCAGATAATGCACAATGATGATATTGCTTTCTTTATTTTAAGAAACTGAGTGGTTTAATACCTGTGATTTCACTCAGTCTTCCTTATGCATGGATAAGGCAGCATGCTTTTATGCAGCTCATTCTGTAAAGCTATTGGGTTACACACATTCCTGCTACCTCTGCTGTCACACATTCCCTCCCTCCACTCCTCCAGTGCAAGTTAAGAGGTAGCCTTTAATTGCAGTGTCCCAGTGACTTGATCCAAAAGGTACCCTTCCTGATTTTCACAGTTAATTGATTTGCAGTTGCCTTTACTAGGCACAACACATGTAACCTCACCGCAGAAATGAAAATTTTGGTCTTGCCATGTAAATTGACTTTCTGCAAAGGCAGCTGTTTCTGAAGTTCCACCCCAGTACTAATGTGTGTCTGTAGTTGTATTAAATAGTGATATTTGTTAGAGTTCTGTTTTTGATTAATGTTTCAGGCTAAGAAAACTTGGATGGAGCTGGTAGAGATGCTCTACTGGGTGGGAGCCAAAAGTCTAATCACCACCTGCAAGAGCTACCTGCACCAGTGTAATTAAGATGAACAGCACAGATTCTAATCTGGTCTCCTTTTGCAGAAAGTTAATTTTAAAGTAAGACCAAAATCTTTTTTTCTAATGCATTGAATATGTAAGTCTTTAAGTTCTTCCTTGAGGGATTGTCCATATGGCTTCTTATATTTCTGCAGCTTCATGAGCAAAATTATGTTTTTTGACACAATGATCTACTGTATCTGTGCTTGTGTGTTTATGCCCTCATGCCTTCAGCCCAGGTGTACAAAGGGCCCAGCAGCTTCCTCCTGAGTGTGGCACTGACATACAACCTGGACACCATTTGCCATCTCTTCTTTTGCATTGTCTGCTGCTGTTTTGTTGATAAGCCTGGTTATCTCTGGAACCTTGTGCATAAACACTGTCTTGTTCCACAGTTTAGGCTTAATTTGCTGTGCTTATGTGAAAAACGAGAAGATGTAAAATTGCTCATTTTTTAACTGAACTTTTTGGTATTTGTGTCCAAATGTTCAAGTATACTACTGGGCTGGTATTGCTTAATTTAGAAACAAAGCCTGAATAGCAAAAAGCCCTGGATGGACATTCATCTTATATGCCTGCTCAGACACTGAACTGAAAAAACCTGCAATTGGTTCCTCAAGCTTCCGTACTACACAGGCCCGGGGTATTTTCCTTCTCACTCTACCTCAACTGCCTCTTAAAGATGGCACTGTTGCAGCATTTCTTTCTCAAAGATTGACTTAATACCAGAGGTAGGATACAAGAGTCAGGAAGAGGATTTAGCACAAAGTGTGAGAATGCAGGCACTGCTCACTATATCTATTTTCCACAACAATCTCTTGTTAGCAATTCTCTTGGTCTAGTCACTCCCTTTACAGGTGGCCAATTAAGACTTTGGAACAATAGTGGCTTTACTCATTTTGATCATGTCAGGGATACAGATCTCAGACTTCAGAAGTTTTTTTTGTTTAATTTTTTTGGGGCTGGGGGGGATGACTCAGCCAACATTTAATAGGTTGATTGAATTAGAAGGAGGTGTTTTGGCACCAGCTTTGTCTCCTAAGGATGTTTGTTCTCTAATGGAATTAAATCATGACACTCTGTTCTTTCATGTCCTGCCTTGTCATATCATTCTTCTGTGATCATTTATACAATTACAGATGTTCATTTCCGTCCCTTTTCCTGTTTTTTTTTTTAAATCACAGAGATATAATAAGGAGAATCCCATGCTAAAGGTAATTGAAGGTTTTCTGTAGGGGTACTGTTAAGACAGCTTGTGTGTGTGTGTGTTTTCCTACAGCCTCAGTACCTGTAGTACTATTGAGTCTGGAACCTCACTGGAGAGTGCAGTCAATCAGTTAATCCAAATCACTTGTTTGGAGTCAGGTATTTTAGTACTTTACTGAAGGAGACTATGTTAACTAAAAACAGCACAACCATTCTGTACTCCAGTTGGATTATAGAAATTAAGTCTGATCAATGAGGTCAACTGGCTTGGTCTGTAGTCTTGAAAAAACAAGTTACAGTGAAAACAATGAGGAGACTACTGTACAGGAACAGATGTAGTTTGCTATGTTCAGAATATTTCTGCCCTTAAGTTGATAAAATCCTAGTTGTGCTGCTGGTTGTGTGGTGCACAGGAGGAGTTTGTCAACACAAATACTGTACACCCTTCACAAGTCACTGTTAATATCTGTAAATCTGTTTGTAACCCTGCAGGAGACTGTAGTGTTCTTCAGGTTAGCTCTGTATCTACTAAGTGTATTCTGGAGATGCTGAGGCAAGCAAGAGTTTCCCAAGTACCCACTTAGAGAAAAGAAGAAAAGCAGCAGCTAAATCCTTGGGGTTTAGTGTTGTCTGTGAAGTGGCTGTCAAGTGCTTTAGTCTGTAGATGGTCACTTGAACTGTGCTAAGTCTGCACTACTGAAAGGACTCAATGTGAGGGACCAGTGATAGCTGACAGAGCCAGAGGAGACTTGTCCCTCACATATCACTCCACTGGCAGTTGTAAGATGATTTTCCTGGGTCTTCAGGACTTCTGATGGAGTTTCTTTCACTGCTCTTGCCTTAATTCACCCTCTTCTCTCAGTATTCCATGTGAAGGAAACAGGTGAAAGCAGATTTCAGCTGTAGGAGTGTGACAGTACCAAAGAAGTCTGGACTCCGCTTGCAAAAACCAAATGTTTTCGTGGTCAGAATGGAGGCATTTTAGTTTATTTTCCCTACAGCTCTTGGGAAGTTTTTGAGTGTTTTAAGAGGTGCTGTTTAGCGATTCTTACCTAAATTAATAAAAAAGGATGTAAAAATGTACATATGTGCATTGTTTGGAAATATATTCCTCCAACCTTGTTGTTTTGTATCAGTTTTCAAAAAGAGAACTCAGGCGGATAAGACTGTCATGGATAGCAACAGATACTTTTCCTTCTTGACATTAAGAAGAGTGATTCTGATAATTCCAATTATTTTGTTAATTTCAAGATACTCATTCTGTTTGAGACTAGGGTACACCACCAAACCTGTGGATTAATTTACAGATAGGATATATAGCCACCTTGTCCCAAGGGAACTGTTGTGTGTTGTACTGCCAGGAAACACAGTTCAGTAACCCACATGAGCAGACTAGCTCTGCTTCCACAGCAAGGTTTGGGAATGTGCAAAATCTCATTGCTTACCTAAGGGAATCTCAGCTGTATGTGGATCCATTTATTTACACCCACCTACTGCTATAGTTAGATGGAGAAAAACCTTTTCTTTTTAATTTATTGAAGACAGCACCACAGATTTGAGAAATAAAGACAGCTGAAAGTGCAGTGCACTTTTCCAGAATCACATCTGTCTCTTCTGACTTTGACAGGTGGTTGTTACAACCAAACTGTTCTAGGATTGTTTTGTACAGAGTCTTACTGTATGTAAAATAGATCTGACACATACAAGCAGTTTTGCTGGGCTCCTTATGTAGCAGTGGAGTGGCACCCACAGAATAGTCAGTTGCTGAGAGTGGAATCTGTGTGCACAATAGCTTAAAGTAAGAATAATTATAATTTCTATGGTTGAAATGGATGTCTGTGTTGTCTGTAGATTCCACAACTTGCCTGATTCTGCTTTCCCTGCTTCTGTAGAGTTTTCTTTAGAAGTCTTGTGTGATGAAAATACTGCAGAATGATTGAACCTATATTCCTTCATGTTCTGCTGCACGGATGGAGAGGAAGTGAAGCTAAATAGGCCACATGGGTACTGGCACAACAAAAATGGAGTTTTCAAACAAAACCTCCTAATTATAATTAGCATATGTCAGGAAAAAGAAATATCTCAATTTCCACATATTCAGAGGATTAAGAAGATAGTATTGAATGTCTTATTCTATATTTGAGAGGTCCTTCTGGAAAATCAGAGCATTCCAAATGCTAAATTATACTGTTAATATTTTTATGAAGGTTTTGAAAATGTTAAAGTGAATACCACTGGCACATGTAATACTGTGGGATAAAATGTGCTCATTATGTAGGCACTTAGGGGAGAAGAGCTGTCTACTAATGTGTTTCTACTAATATTTTGTTGTATTTTTTTATCTTTAAGAATGAAACCAAGAAAAATTAAAGAAGATGATGCTCCACGAACGATAGCTTGTCCTCACAAAGTAAGTGAAGTGCTCAGCTTCTGAGTGGATAGTAATTTGTAGATCAGAATTTTGTATTGATGTTTTCTCTTGAGAATGAATAACTAAAATATCTTACTGTTAATAGAATACACTCAGTTAAATGTATTTTAGTTGTCATTCTCTAGAGGCTTCCTTTAAAACCTTTCACTGAATAATATATTATTCCCATTCCTTGTCTTAAGGTTAGTGCATCCCTAATCTTCTGGTAACCATGATGCACAGTCCCTAACATGCTGTTTACTGTTGTGATTTCCCGACACCCAAGAATACATACTTGAAAGAATGTTCTGAAAGCTGTTCAAAGTACGTTCCTAAGATCTATATATCCTCTGCTTGGAAACTATGACAGATTTGGAGTCTAGATCAGGAATCAGCAATTTATGGTGCAGATGCCAAAGTCAGCTTTATTGGAAGACTCAGAATTACATTCCACAGAGCTGGAAAGTGCATCATCATGAAAGAGAGGCAGGCATCTTGGAGATATGATTCTGATCCACTGGTAGCAGGGAAGCTTCTGTCTTGAATAAATGTTGCCAGTCACCTAGATTGGTAGCCTGTGGCTTTACTGCATTATCCAGCTTTTGTAGTGCTTCTTTTAGCTGACTTAGTCTGTAACAAAAAAAGACAAACACAATCTTGCTGACTTCTGGTCTAGATAAGTGTGAGCCTAAGCAAATAATCAGGACAGATAGCTATTAGAGTTATCCTTTAGAGAGCATGAATAGAAGGCTATTTTCTGACAGCCATGGTGTAAGGAATTTTCTGAATTCCTCTTTGTGCTTATATTGATTTCCAATTCTCCACATTCTAAAAGTGTCATGTTTTTTTGTAGTACAGTATGCAGAGATACAGGAACAGTTATGTTTACCAAGGAATGTTACCTTCATTTCTTTCATTTACTTTTTCATAGCCTCAACTTCATCTAAATGGGGGGTGGGGAAAGAATATTCTATCTTTCCATTTTCTATCTTGTAGTGTTTGTAGCCTTGATGCATTTATGAATTCAGTTTAACAAAAAAAACCACAAAAAAACCACAAAAAACCACCAAACCAACATATTGTAGCTGTACCAGCTTCTCTCATAAGCAAGAAGGGACTTTGAAATAAATGCAGAAAAAAAGTTGATGGTCTGTTTACTTTGGCGCTGCTTTGCCCCACCCAGTTCTGCTATGTACCCCGAATGGTGGCACAATATTTTAAAATTAGCCAAAGAGGTTCTAGTACCTGAACAGAGAACCCCTGAAAGTGACATTTCACCTTATTTGTAAGAAACAAAACTTATTTAAATGTATTTGTTTAGTAGAAAAAAAGAAAAAAAAAGCCTGCAGAATTTAGGATTAGCAATTTAATGGTCCTTTGGGTACTGTTGTTAAATTTTATGCCTCAAACACAGTGATGTTGGCATACTAGCTTTATATAAGTTTAAACAGCATAACTTGTAGTACAAATAGGAATTATGATTATTAATAAGATTTGATGATATATTTTGAACCTTGAGGAGACATTAAGAAGTGAAAAAAATGTAGAAAGTTTAGACATATAGAGCCCCAGGTCACTGCTGGCTTAAGCATAACTCTTAAGCATTTAACCTACCAAAAGTGGTATTCCTCTGTCAATGCAGGGTTGACCCCCAGGTTAAGACTTGTGATGCTGTACCTGAGTTAATGTATCTTCTGCTTTTGGATTGAGGTGGGGCTAACTCAGGCTATAGCCCCATCTTATTCCACTGCCCAGTATCACTTTGTGGGTTTAAAGTGCAGCACGAGTGGCACTCTGTCCCAAAGTAGCAGTGATCAGTCTGCTGTGGCCAGTTTGGACAAGGTAGTTCCTGTAAGTTGTTATGTGCTGGAAGCCCTCTTGTTCCATTTGTTCTCAGAAATGAGGAATACAGAGACTGAAGAGGACAGAATGTTGGGAGATGGTGCACATACCAGTTGGTACTAGGGAATAATCTGTGGTATATTAGACATCATGTAATATATTGTAGTACCGTTGTTCTCGGAGTATACACTTTAAAGAGTATGCCACAGGTATCCATGAACTCTTTCTCTGTCTTTTGTTTTATTGGGTGGATTTTTGTTTTGTGTTTGTTTTTTCCTCTGAAACCTGTTAGGTGCTTTTGTTTGATTTATTCATTTGCTTCTGTCAGAGCTTCATCTTCTCCATGAGACTGTCCTATTATTTGACTGTGCATGGCTCATAATAGTGAGTGAGGAAAGGGTTTAGGATTTTTTTCTTTGGTATTGGGTTTAGGGGGTTTTTTGGTCAGCTTTTCAAATTATTAGTTTTCTTGTATTGCTTTTTTAAAAATAAATGTAAGGGATGTTCTTTTCACTGCCAACTCTTAAAGTATCCAGGATATAAAAGCATTTTAAATGTTTGTACTGTAGCAAATAAAACCTTCTTTATGAGAACTAGCTTATCTACTAATTGAGTTTCACTGTTCTTTTTAAGGGCTGCACAAAGATGTTCAGGGACAACTCTGCCATGAGGAAGCATCTGCACACTCATGGTCCTCGAGTACACGTGTGTGCAGAATGTGGCAAGGCCTTTGTGGAGAGCTCGAAACTAAAGCGGCATCAGCTAGTTCACACTGGAGAGAAACCCTTTCAGGTATTGGTAACCTGCAGGCATGAGTGCCCCCACTTAAGCTGGGAACACTGGAGACTAGCTATCACCTGGCTTCCATAGGACTTGGGCATACTAGGGCTTTTCTAAATTCAGATGAGGCACCTGAAAAACTGGGAGCCCCAGTAAGTTAATTAGGCTATCATTTAATTATTTACATGGACTTCTCTTAGAAATTGGCAGATTGGATGTACATGGGAGATACCTTTCAAAAAATGATGTAAAGTTACTCTCTTTAAAAATGAAGTCTGCAATTATTAGAGAAATAAGAACATGTCTATTTTCCTCATCATCTTTCCAGCTTAGCGCATGTGGACAACTGAGACTTGGGGCTGTTTGCTCAGTTACCTCAGGGTATTAATTTTCAGTAGGGGTTATTTCATTTTTCAACAAAATGATGGAGTCACTGAATCTCTTTCCATTTATATGGAGTCACATGAGCTTCTGCCACCAGAGGTCCCCTGCCCCCTTCATATGATAACCCCTATAAATCTTTAAAAATATTCTTAGTCTTGAGCATATACGTGTTCCCCAGAAAATACTTCAGATACATGTTTTTTATGTTGTTGATTATTTTCTAAAGTAAATTATTTCAAAAATTGCAGTCCTCAGACATTTACTTGGATGCATATATTGAATATTCAGTGTGGTAAATGTAAGTTTTTGACATTAAATGTGCTGTCCTCTTTATATCAAGCCTATCTTAAAAGTAAAGCAGGTAAAATGAGAAAACCTTTGCAAGTCATCACTCAAAGGGGGAAGTTCTGATGTGAAAACACATTTCTGTTTTGTCATACAGTGTAGATACTATTTCACATGCAGAGAAGGTGTTTTTAGTGGAAGTGATTGCTTGCAAGCTGGAGGTCATTTATTTCTCTCTTTGAATATAGGTTTTAGTGCAGTTCACAGGGGATCCCCACAGCTTTACCCATAATAATCTTCAGCCTCTGGCTTCATGCTTAAGCAGTCTAGTGAATTAAAGACTGTTTTTCTGGTCAGTGAGGGAGATGAGTTCCACCAGCTAACAGAGTATTTCTTTTCCTTCCAACAGTGTACGTTTGAAGGATGTGGAAAGCGTTTTTCACTGGACTTCAATTTACGCACACACGTGCGAATTCACACTGGTGACAGGCCCTACGTTTGCCCGTTTGACGGCTGCAATAAGAAGTTTGCGCAATCAACCAACCTGAAATCTCACATCTTAACACACGCTAAGGCCAAAAACAACCAGTGAAAGTTGAGCAGAACGTTCTTGAACTCAAAGCATCTTACAGGAAAATCAATTGGAAAGAAATACGCCTCCCCTTTGTATATTGTTTCTAGGAAAGAATTTTAAAAAAAGAACCCTACAAGCCTAAAGGACGTGTTTTGATAAGTAGTAAATAAAAAGCAAAAAAAAAAATCACACAGAAAACTTTAAGGTGACATTGCTAAGATGCTCCACCTTGGTCTGTAACCCCGTTTCAAGAACACGGTGTTTTGTAAAGTGTGGCCCCAACCGGACGGGTCAGCTCATGAACTTGCATCAGAAAAGACAATTCTTTATACAACAGTGCTAAAATTGGACTTCTTTTCACATTCTTATAAATATGAAGCTCACCTGTTGCTTACGATTTTTTTTAATTTTGTATTTTCCAAGTGTGCATATTGTACACTTTTTGGGGATATGCGTAGTAATGCTATGTGTGATTTTCTGGAGGTTGATAACTTGCTTGCGGTAGATTTTCTTTAAAAGAACGGGCAGTTACATGCATACTTCAAAAGTATTTTCCTGTAAAGAAAAAAAAATTATATAGGTTTTGTTTGCTATCTTAATTTTGGTTGTATTCTTTGATGTTAACACATTTTGTATAATTGTATCGTATAGCTGTAATGAAATCATGTAGTATCAAATATTAGATGTGATTTAATAGTGTTAATCAATTTAAACCCATTTTAGTCACTTTTTTTGGAGAAATACTGCCAGATGCTGATGTTCAGTGTAATTTCTTTGCCTGTTCAGTTATGGAAAGTGGTGCTCAGTTGTAGAATGTATTGTACAGGCACTGACCGTTTATTAACACCTGATAATATGTACATCCCCCATGTAATAGAAAGGACAAGAATAAAACAGTGGTCCTAAAGAAAGAATCTGGCAGAAAATGATCTGTAAGCGCAGTCAATTTTCTTTTATTGTCCAGAGCAGTTCTAGTTCCTCTTGACCTCTCAGAAATTGGAAGCTAAATAAACTCAAGTTTCCTTTACTTTGCATTCAATTACAGTGATTTGTGATGCAGTTAATGCCACATCAGGTGGTATATCTAAACAGAATTGCTGACTGTAATTCTGGTTTTGAGTGACCTAGACTTCCATTAACTGGAACGGTGGATTTGGAGACTTGGCAGTGTAGTGAGGAGTGTTCTGTGTGCCTGGACAGCAACTAGGTAAAACAGTACAGGAAATAACTAAATGGAAACCTTTGTTTAGTCAAGGTAAGAAATGTTGGCAATTTAAATGCAGTAACAGTAGAAAGTGGAGGAATGGTAGGGTTTGGGTGATCATACCAAGAACAAAAGAAACTGTTTCTTCTTTCAGCTGACTTGTTTGAGTGTAATGATAAAAATTCTTGGAACCTTTTGTTTCAAAACAAGAGCTTGAAGTTCTAAGAACTAAATGGAGTTTTGATGGTCTAACTAAGAGTGGTTACTTCTCATTTGTTCAAGTGTTCAAAGAAAACTTAGCAATTGCTATAGTAAAATATGACAGATTAATAAACAGAAGATAATGCAGAGAAATGCATAAATTATTTTTTAATGGCATGTAACATTTTAATGCAGTAAAAAGTGTTGTTAATCTTTTTCTGAATTCTGTTCTTAAAAGGTTCATCAAAGTTTTCATTGCTAATACTGTAAAACTTAATTTTAAGTCCAATGTTGGTGGTAGTGGCAAAAACATGGGTAATAAAGAAACTGCACTTAAGACCAAGGGAATTTTCATCCATACATAAGTTAATCTGAACACTGCAATTCTAGTCTGAGGTTGTTAGGGGTAGAAAGAAAGTTGGGACATTTAATTGTAAAGTATGCGTTAGAATTTTGGCAGTATTTTTTCTTTTATATATAAGCAGTTTTTGAACAGGACAATATACTGAAACTTGTATAGTTATAGTTAAATTAAATTCTGTATACAGTTAAATTAGTGTCTATTCTTTTTGGAAGGAAATAAAATTAATTCAGTCTAGTTCTAATTGACCTTATATTTTTTCTTAAGCATTATCTGTGATGTTGTTAGGCTTACACAGAAGTTTGCTTTCCTTTGTCATAAAGTCATTTATTGAATTGCAAGGTGTCAGTACTTCATCCTTGAGCATACATTAGGGACTGAACTATGTTACCTTGAACATACATTTGAGACTAAGCTATGTTAAATATTGATTTGAGGACCAACTGGGAGCTGTAACTTATTGCCTCTGGTTATTTTGCATCTGATTACAGAGAGACATTTCCATCTAGGCCTCAAATCAGTAGCACTCAATATACTCCTGAGTGTAAGTAGCAACACGCAGTAGCTTTGAAAGGTCTTGCTTTGTAAGTACTTAATTCCATATTGGGTATGAATAAATACTAGCATTCAGCAGCTGCTATAAGTTGTTTAAGCTTTTAAAGTATAATTGGCACACCTTGCTCTTAAAACCTCCTGCTTAATTGATTCCAGAGTTTTCCTCAAGGTTTTTCAGTGAAGAAATTACAGGATTTGAGAATAGCAACAGTTGACTTGGAAGCCACCATTCCCAGCGTGCTATTGAGTTCCTGCATTACACCACCAATTTGTTCAGGTAAGGGGAGGAGGATCTGAGGGGTGGTAGAAATGTGAGTTTAAAACTGGCAAAAAATTTCTGTGTTTACTCATTACCCGTGTTCTACTGCTCATTTGATTGTACATATACCTTTGGTTCTGCTGCTGTCAAAATGAAAGGCAGACCAACTTTGAAGGTAGAACTGACTAGAATTTTCTCTATTTGTGGTCTGTGAGTAAATGCAATACAAACTGAACTTAAATACTAATTACTTGTGGAGAGTGTTTCTTGAAAAGGTTCTAGGAGGACCACAGATTCAGATTTGAAATGCTGAGATAATGAATTCTTAGTGAAACAGAACACTAGGGCCTCAGCTGAATCTGCACTGAATTTTAGTTACCTTCTGTTTGAAGAGGGTCACTGTGGAATTGAGGTAGTGCGTTTTGACTTTTCCCCTTAATGGCTGCAAGTTGTCAATCAACAAAGCCAAATACCAAACACATCCTAACAGCTTGTCAGCAATAATGTAGTTTTAAAGGCAAGTGGAGATACTTTCTGCTAATTCCACAGGAGGTGTAAAGCTAAAGATGCAATAATTACCAGAAATGGCAAAAGTATTGAGGCTTTAAAATGTTTGAAGAAAGTGAATTCCTTCAAAGTGCTAGATAAAGAAGCATGGGAGTGGTAATAACAGGTGCTTCCATGTGCTCATCACATAGCTCACAGGATATTTTGTCAGTATGCTGTGGAAAAACTGGGGCTGGTTGGTTTTTCTACTCAGTTAAGATGCATGAATTCGAGGATAGTATGTGCTGAGTATCATTCTTCCAAGTGTTTCCTTAATGCCTTGGAAAAATTTAGAAAATCTGCAATTTTCATCAGTGCTCCTAGACAGATCTGTGGGAAGTCTTAATCAGTCAAGTGGCAGCTGCTACTGCCATTGGTTGGTCTATAATGTGGCATCTATAATTTATATATTCTTATTCTAAATTAACTTATTCTAAGTTTAAGATGTTTCTCCTCTCTACAGCACCTTCTAAAATCTGCTGTGTAATGGTGGCATGAGGGGAGGAGTAAAGTATGTTTATGTCAGCTTTTCTGCACTAATGTTCCTGGAGCACTTAAAGCTATAGAGGGGAACCTGGGGTGGATTTCAGAGCTGAATATAGGGTGTGAATTTTGTGGGCAGGAACACACATAAGAGTTGGATTTCAGTATTCTTATTCCTGGCTGTGTAAATTGAATACTTTAAAAAATAATAATTTCCTTGGGAAAGTCCCAGGGCAAAAGAAAGGGAAAATGAAGTAGAGCAGAGGGAGTGCAGCCCTGCTGCTGAGCACAAGCAGAAACATCTGCACAGTGATCTGTAAAGACAGACATGAACAGAGCAAGACTCTATGTCCTTATATTACAGTATTCAATATTCAGTTTGATAATATGAATTGGTCTAGTGTCAGGTTGCAAGAGTGTGATGCTGGCTTTACAGCAATGCTTAAATGCCACCTGGATGGCTACTAGTTCAATTTTGTAAGGTAATTCAATCAGTGGTCCTTTTCTCAACTTCATTCTCTTTGCCTAAGGCAAGCCAGCTTTTATGTGTACTCTCAATGATCCTATATTATTATGGCAGTTTACCTTGGAATTTTTCTCAGTCCTTTTCTCTGAAAATTGTCTAGAAAGAATTTTCTTTGGGGCAAGCACGTCAGATCATGTGTAAGAATTAATGTGAATTTTTCAGGTATTGGCTTCCCCTGAAGTAGCAGGAAAACACTCTTTAGCTGTAGGTAAATGAATAGGATTCCTTATAGCAACTGGGTTTCAGACATCTGTTTTAGGGTTTTCTAAGTCTTCTGTTACTTCTTCTAAGAGAAAAGCTCTAAGCCTGGGTGCTGGTTGGTACCACAGCTTTTGTTGTGGTTACAGTGTGGACATGATACCCTCTTGTGAGCTGTTGTTCTCACCAGGTTCCTGTGTCTGCTGGGAGCTCTCAGGAGCAAGCCTGAAGTTCTGTCCAAATGTTGCAGAATTTTGGGAGGGAGAGACAGGGCTGGAGAGTCTGTGGTGTCCTTGCAGGATTTATGTGTGCTCCTTTTGCCCAGCACTTAAGTGATGTTGTAGGTTTAAGTGTGATTCCTCTCTAATCAGTCTGGTATCAGGTGGCATCTATGTCAGTGCTTTGTTTCAGTCCTTTGTTCAGAAACTCCCGGGTAGTGGTTTGCCAGGAGATGGCAGTGAATTACCTGTTTGCATGGCTTGGCCAGCAGACAGAATGGCAGTGTCAGGGTGCCCCTGCCAGCTCAAGCATGTGCAGGGTGTCCTGCGGCGTTCCGTGGATCTTGACAGTCCTGGAGCATGCCAGTGTCAAAGAGTAAATTACCCACACGGCACTCAGAAGTGTGAGAAGTACAGTTGTGTGCTGATTTCTGAGAGTCCTTGTGTGCTTGTGCATTCAAGCAGAGCAATGAAAATGAAAGACTGTAAATCAAAACTCTTGAGTGTGACATGGGTCATATATACATACATCTATCAAATATTAATGTTAAATAGAGAGTAATGTGGAAATCCAGTGATCAGTGGTGTTAATGAATGCACATTCAGCTGTGAGTGGCTACTTTGGTTAACTGCCGGACCTGTAAAACATCACTGCTTCTCTCCAGCAGTGATGTCCTCAAAAGTCCAAGCTCTTCTCAGGCAATTAGGACCTGTTGCTGCTCATAAGGTGTGCAAGGCCATTGCAGAGGCTGCAGAACAGGACCGATGTTGCATTGGAGTCCTTCATTGCTGCTCTTTAGGGGATCAGAGATGTCAAGTAGCCTGTTTTCCTCCCTGCAGCAGGCCCACAGAAAAACTCTATTTCTGAAGGATGTGGAGAACAAATATTTTTGAGATAAATGATAGAGCATGTGAAGACTGTGGCATAATATGTACTGCTTGTTAAATAGTGGAAAATACATACACAAAAGATCTTGGTGACCAGATAGGTCCTAATGTCCTTTGGCTAAAGCTCATCTCAGGAGCTGGTTGAAAGACAAATCTGTGGAAATCTGCCTTGTTGGTTAGTGTTTTGATTTAAGGGTTTACAAAGTCAGGTGTCCTTTAGAGCTGCAAGATGGGCTTACCAAGGACCTCACTGACCTTGCTAGTGCCAATTTTGGTTTACAAAGGTTTTGACTGCCTCACATGTGGGGCAGCATGCAGCTTATTTTGACTTATTTTATCAACACATTTATTTTTTTTCTCAGCAAAACAGAAAATTTGGCCTTTTGATATAGAATCCTTCAGTTTTCAGTCTTAACTGATTCTTTGACTGAACCTCCAATGGATTAATGTGAATCCAGTGACTGCCATAGCTTCAAAGGACACACAAATGTTTCTGGTTTGAAAGCGAATTGTAAGGAATATTTATGGGAGATGTTTAGGTTTTCCTCTTGTGTGGTTGGTTGGTTTGCTTGTTTTTATTTTTTTCCTCCTGCTTAGGTTAGGGACAGGGGATTTCATCTCAGTATTTTCCAGAGTGTGAAATGAAAAATGTGTCCAGTCTCTCGATTAAGAACTGGTAGGGAAGCACTACCTGGATTAATTTAAGGGTAGAAGTAATTTTTACATTTATCTTCTTTAACTGCATTTAAAAAGTTTGAACTTTATTACTGGCCTGTTTGAAAAGCACCTCTTACAGATTCTTCCTAAGTGAAAATACCTCAGGAAGATATTACAGTAGACAAGGAAGAAGGTGATTGCAACACTGAAGTATTCCTGATCTACAATAAATCTCTGCTCAAGATAATCAGATCCTAGAAAAAGAATATTCATTTTATTTTGTAACAACTTTAATCTGGCCAAGTTATTGCTTCTATTCTGATGTATAGAGGAAACAGTGCAGACCATTGAGGTCAGGCTTCATTATGCTTACAGTATTTTGTTGATTGACACATGGATATGGCTTAAATGATTCAAGTCTATTTTTACTGTCAATAAAAAATGCAGTGTGCTTCTTTCAGTAAGAAAAACCAGTCATAATAAATTATAATAGTGAATGATAACTAAGCAATTTGGCTGAGTTAGTTGTTACATTTTACAGACCCTAAGAATATTTTGTGAACATTCAAACTTGACATTCTTCCATTTATGTCAATCTACAGGGTATTAGTGTCCACTGCAGACCTTGCCTTGATTTCAGTTTATTTGTTGATGAACCTGTATAGCTCAAAATGACTTTCCAGGTCAGTTCAGTTAAAACTAGTAATAAACTACAAGTAGAAAAGCTTTTACTGTATATCTTATGTATTATTGTGCATATTATGTCACTTTTTTCCTGTTAGTGATGACCACTTTTGCAATTAGTGAGGACATCACTAATACAAAAATTGAAAAACAGTTGCAGTGGGAAGATGAAAGTGGCTTATTTTCCTTTGCTTGTCTCCCCTACTGCCCATGGACACACTAAATTCCTGAACATGGAAAGCAACAGTTTGCTTCTTCATGATATCAAAGGCTGTTTCCCTTAGATTTGGCCCAGCAAGTTCTCTGTTTCCCTGATCTCTTGCCGTGCCTCTGAGCCCCTCAGACCTTTCATCTGTCTCCATGGCTGTGGTGTTTGATAGGGCATGTTGGCTGGGGTAAGCTTCTATTTTCTCTGCCTCTTTTTCTGGTAGAAGAGGGCTTTAACTGCACATTTTGCTAATCTGAGGGTGTTTGGCACTCTTCTGGGTTTTAAATTGTTCTTTAATTGTCCATGAATTAAAAGTTGGGCTAACGGCAGCTAATTGAACTGTTAACATCTGTTTTCCAGCATAATAATAAATATCAAACATCAAAGAACAAACTCCTCTTTTCTTTGCAAGGTCAACGTTTACATTTGTGTCTCTGTCTTTTTCCCAGTATGCTGCTGGTGCTGCACCTGCAGTGGACAGGTTTTCATCCCTTGAATGTCTTGCTATCCTTTTACCTGAACCATATGAAAAGTTTTATCATGGAATCCTAGAATGGCTTGAGTTGAAAGGAACCTTAAAGATTCCAGCACCCCCTGTCATGGTTAGGAACACTTTTCACTAGACCAGGTTGCTCAGACCCCCATCCAGGCTGGCCTTGGACAATTTCAGGAGTGGGGCACCCACAGCTTCTCTGGGCAACCTGTGCCAGGGCCTCAGTCCCTTCACAGTGGAGAATTTCTTCCTTATCTCCAAATTCAACCTGCCTTCTTTCAGCTAAAGGCCATTACCACTTGTCCTATCACTGCAGATATGCAGAGAAAGACAAGACTGAGAG